GGATTTCAAAGCGAGCAATGGCAACGTTGTGCAGAAAAAAAAACATTTTTATCTCCAGCGCGTGAGTCTCTGTATCGGAAATTCTAAAGATATGCTCGTTTTAAAACTATTTTGCGATATTGCTGTTGCACTGGATCTTATGGTTTAAGTGCGAGGAACATGATATTTAATAAAGAAAGGTAACATACAAAATGTTAAAAAAACGCCCCTTTGGACGTAATTTAAAATCTGAACATTTCAGATTTTTTATTTTTTTTTATTATTTATTTTTTGTTGAGCCGGGTTTTGAGCTTTATTTTTTCCTATACGCAATTAAAGCACTGCTCCAGAATAACTCACTAGGCCACCAAAACTATCTACATTGTTTTGATGCTAGATTGATCCAAATCACTGAAGACTCAGACAAAAGCAAAATAAAGAGCTCAAGAGAAAATGCGCGTCGAGGAAAGAAACGGGACAGCTTATTTTCAAAAGGTCTCATTCCAAAGACTTTACGCAGACCAATCACCATGGCAATATTTAGGCTGCGCATGGGCTATGGTTATCTCCAAGTCCATTTGCTCTTCTTCAGTCTAGTGAACTCCGCCATGTGCCTACTGTGTCAGGATGGAAGAATAGACAGAGAGCAACCGCGAAGCTGCAGTGAGCTTACCAAGCGCCAAAGGGAAGCCAAGCTTCAAGAAGAAGAGCTTGCCAACATACCGACTTCGCAGCGTACAGTCACATCCAGACAATATTGAGAAGCTCGTTGTCGAATGGCAGAACTACCAAGGGTTACCACTGGCTAAAATAAATCAAGTAAGATTGATTTAAAAGTTTCAAAATTTTCTTTATGATGTACAGAATAGTCAACAAATATAAAAACAAATTTGTTTCCCTTTTATTAGGGCATTTTTTAAATGTGGATTTGGATTTATTATTATTACTGTAAAATACTCTATGATTGGATGGATTGCTTTCATTGAGCACTTTCCAAGTAAAATTCGCTCACGTTACGTTACATATGAAGAAAGCCCAGTAAAATTAATAATCAGTTATTAATCCCTTACTTACATCTTCTGTTCTGATTACCAAAATTTCTTTATAACTTAATTGTGCCCTGTAATTATAAGAAAATACCTAGTATTGGCTAAAAAAGTCTTTGCCTAAACGTGGTGCATAATACACAGTTTTAATGCCGTTTTTGAATGCATTGTTTGACATCAAATATTTTTGCGGGCCGGCCAATATATCGGCAAATAATAATATATAATAATAAAATAACTTACCGACGAAGAAAAAAATGAAATGTTTACTGCTAAGTAATTAACGATAATTTATTCAGTGTTGTTAGATTACTCACAGCGAGCTGACACACACACTACTTAAATTACAAATGCGTGTGAGTAGCTTGCGTTCAGCTACCTTCGGCTTTTGGGGAACACGTGCACTCAGAACTTGTACGCATCCCCTGATAGCCGAATGTGGCCGAACTCATGGTCTCAGTTTTCCAATCATAGTTTTGTACGATATATTGGTGCATACATGTGCATGCACTTTGCTTTATTATTAATTATTACTTAATTCATATTGTTACGGATTTCATAGTTATTTATTTAGTTAGTTTTTTTATTTAGAATTGTAATTAGATTTGCTTCATGTTGCCTTAGCAACGCAGACGATTTTTGAAAAGACAGCTGCGTTGGAAGGTTAAAAATAAAACAGTGCGTGCATTTAATACCTAATAAATAAATATCTCGTAATTGCTGTTGCCATCCACAAAAATCCAGATATTTATAGATGATTCCAGTATATTCGAGAAATTAATTATAAAGCTTATAAAAGCCGAGAACAAACAACTCATCTCAGTAGTAGCTGTAGTTCTAGCGAACTGTTTGTTTACTTAATGCTGTGATTGATTTGTAGCGATTTCGCTGTGAGATAGAATTAGTTTCTCTGTTTTGAATTGATTTTTGCTAAACGTTTGACATTTTGTGATATTGTTAGAATATTTTTGAAGAAATATTTCAGCATTTTGATTTATCTCTTGTGGAAAGAATAAATTTTTGTTAACTTTTTAAAACGTTAACCGTGTTTATTCCAGCCCTTTGTATTCAGTATGTCTATATCAAAACCAAGTGGTAGTAAAATTAAACGAAAAATCGCTGACGAACATAGAATATTCCAAGTAAAATGGGAATTAGAATATTTTTGCTGTGAAATAAAAGATAAAATAATCTGCTTGATATGTAGTAATACTATTAATGTACCAAAGTTATATAATATTAAACGTCATTACGAACAACACAAATCGAAATATAACAATTACGAAGGATTAATGAGAGAAGAAAAGTGGAAAGAGCTCAAGTTAGGAGTGAAAAAGGCAACAGTCTATGTTTAGTAAAGTATTGCAAGAAAGTGAAGCGGCGGTACATGCAAGCTACGTCTTGTCCGAGTTGATAGCTAAACATTCGAAGCCTTTTACTGACGGTGATTTCATCAAGGAATGCCTAATGAAAGCTGGAGAAATTGTTTGTCCTGGAAATGTGAAGGCTTTTCAATCAATTTCATTGTCTCGAAATACAGTTGCGGAAAGAGTTACTGATTTAGCCGCGAATTTAAGGTATCAGATCAAAGCAAAATCATCTAGTTTCGAAAGTTTCTCCATTGCCTGTGACGAGAGCACGGACATTAGTGGCAAAGCTCAATTAGCAGTGTTTCTTCGTTCTTGTGACAAGAATTTTAACATTTTTGAGGAATTACTGGAACTAATACCGATGCCTGGTACTACCACAGGAGAAGATATATTTACTTGTGTTTTTGGACTTCTGCAGAAATACAATCTACCTTTGGCAAAATTAAATTCTGTAGCTACAGATGGCGCTCCATCAATGACAGGGAAAAACAAGGGCTTCGTAGCATTACTAAGAAAAAAACTTGGTGAAATTCACGGTTCAAACATTCATCATATGCACTGTATTATACATCAAGAAGTTCTATGCACGAAAGTAATAAATATGGAGAATGTTTTGTCATATATAAAAAAAGTTATAAATTTTATCAGATCTCGAGGTTTAAATCAGCGTCAATTCACTGCTTTCTTAAGTGAGTTAGATAGTGAATATTCGGGTTTGTCCTACTATACCGAGGTACGTTGGTTATCTTGCTCCAAGATTCTCAAGCAATTCTGGGCTTTGAAAAAAGAAATATGTCAGTTTTTAAAAACGAAAAATCAAGACGTAAGTTTGTTTTACGATCCAATATGGATACAAGATTTATCTTTCTTGGTTGATATAACCAAACACTTAACCGATTTAAATTTATCGTTACAAGGAAAAGATCATATCATTACGAACATGTTTGACATAATTAAAGCATTCAAATGTCAACTAGTTCTTTGGGAAAAACAACTTAAAAATGAAGATTTGACGCACTTCCCGACGTGCAGCATGAACAAATCAAGTTTAGATGATACTTGTTTCGTATCAAAAAATACGCAGAAAAAATTGCAAATTTAACAACTGAATTTGAAACGAGGTTTAATGATTTTAGTTCCCTCGAAGACAAATTTTTTTTGTTTTCTTCGATTTTTCTCAATAAGTATTGACTCAGTACCCAGCCATATGCAAATGGAGGTGATCGAGATTCAATGCAACTCAAATTTGAAAGCAAAATTCATTGAAGTGGGCGTGCCTGAATTTTACAAATATTTACCAGCCAGGTTTGAAAATACTCGAAAATTCGCATATGAAATTATTTTCATGTTTGGTAGCACTTATCGGTGCGAGCAGTTATTTTCAGTCATAAAAGGTAATAAGTCTCCTATTAGAAACCGTATTAATGATGCTCACCTTGGGTCAGCGTTGAAAGTTATCACTGCAAACAAAATTTCTCCCGAAATAGGAACGATAATAGCAGAGAAGAGATGTCAAGTATCAGGACGTAAACATTAAATTTTTCTTGTTCTTGTCTATATAAATATATATATATAAATTATTGTATTATTCGAAATAAATCTACGTTTCTATGAATATTGATTTTTTTTTTCGGCCCGCCTAAAGTTAAACCTTTTTTGTTTGGCCCAAGTGTACCTATGAGTTTGACATCCCTGTTTTAAAGTAAAGTAAAGTTTGATGTAAAGAAACACCTAAAATGAAGAATATATTATGTATGTTTCTCGCATTGTGAAATAATGAAGAATATATTATGTATGTTTCTCGCATTGTGAAAAAACGGCTGCATCTACAGTCACCAAATTTTGAACACACTTTAGACCCCGATCCGAAAATGTGCTCCTGCTAGCCCAAATTTTGAGTTTTTTTTTATTTCCTGTTCTGCGAAAATTTAATGATTTCTTTTATTAATAAACTCAGCAACTTAAGAGCAATGTATTACCACTCGGCAAAACGTATCTTTCAAATTTAATCAGAAAACTCTTTGAAAAAAATATGTTGTTAATCAGTAAAGCGCAAGATATTTGTTTTTCAAATTTACTACACGAGCTCAGCGATTTAAGGGGGGAAAAAAAAAATGGGTTGCCATTGCCCCAAATCAAAGATTTTTATCTCCCATGAGGCAGTGTGTGTTCAATTAAGCAAGGCGTTATTTTCATTTTACCAATACTAAAATATACGATGCAACTTGCATCGAGGAAAAAAATCATGCGTTGATGGCATTAAGTTTTTCCTAAAATTGTAATACTAGATGATTTCATCTAAGCAGTTATTTCCTATGCTAACGAAACGAAACCGAAAGCTGACGACTTAAAATCAAGTTCATTGAGAGAAATATAATTCTACCTACATTCGAATCGAAGATGACCTACAATATTCTATAACCTTTTTGTCCTTGGACAGGGGAGAGAAATTACTGCGGATTTCCTTTCAAAACGTCGTAACACTAGCGTTTTACTTTCACGTGATTTGAAAAAAATTCACTAAGTGTTAATGATATATGCATTATTATTATTATTTTTTCTTTTAAAGCAATATAAAAGAGGAGAGTGATCTGAAAACTTTAGTATTCTATTAGGAGTGGTTTAGTAAGCTTCAGGAAGTACTTAGCAAAATATAAATCATGAAGGTAAGTATGCTTTTCATATATGAAATGATTTAGAAGAATTTTGTTAATATTATCGAAAACTGATTATAAGTAATTTCATCTAAACTGGTTATCGCATATTTTAATAATCGATTATTATAACAAATAAATTTATCTCCAATGTTATAATAAATAGTTTTCGACACGTGATTTAATTGATTTGTGTTAATTTTGCCCAACGTTTTCCTTTTAATTTGTTTCTTTGTTTTTGTATTTTAAATTTATTTATCTTGCCAAACATTCTCATTTAAGCAACCTGTTTTTAAACACCTTATCCAGTTTTTAAATAAAAATACAGAGGAAATATTTTCGGTATTGTGCACCAAAACACTCAAATTAACGTTTTATTTTCTGTTTTCAAATAAATGCCAAAATAAAATTTGATTTCATGTATAATGTTATTAACAATTCAGACTAACTGCTAACAAGCCTAAGAATTAATTCCATTAATTTTTTTGAAAATAACCAAAATATAAAGTTAGCTTAGTTCTTTCTTTTATCAGTTCCTCTTTCATTTTATAATTGCAGCTGTGCCTATTATTAAAATATGTGATTGTTTTGGAAGAACAATTTTAGTTTCAAATTAAATTTACATGCTGCAGTTAACGATTCTTAAATTTAACGATTTCGTTCAAATTCCACAAAACTATTAATTTATTTATTTTGACTCCATATAATTTTTGCATAAAATAGTAATAATGTAACATATATGTAATATAATATATAGTAAGTAAGTAGTAACATATTAAACCTCAAAACCTCGGCAAATGCGGATATCCAAGAAACACATTTTCTCGTCGTTCTCTTTAGAAAATGTTCACCAAAATTCTGCATTCTTGCAACACTTTTACTCCAATTTCTTCTACTACTGACAAATTTCACAATCTCGTATTTTAATACATAAAGTATAGTAGTAGTTATATAATACGTAAAGTATTAATAATGTAACATGCTTTGCTGGTACTTAACGCAACTACTTATCGGGTGCAAGTTTGTACTTTTCGCCCCCCTTTTTTTTTAGGAAGATTCCGAAACTATCGATATTTATAGTATGATAGTAAACATTATTAACATACGAAAAAAAAAAACATACTTTAACAATTTGAAACATAAATTTTAATTATTAAATAAATGATTACGAGAAACATTAAAAAAATAAAATGCATTCCTATTCAAATCTTCCTACGATTTTTTTTGCGCTATTCCTTCTAAGCGATCTGTTTTTGCTTTTTAAAAAAATCAGAGAATTGCGGAGACTCGACTGCGTGCAAACCTCGGCAAATGCGGATATCCAAGAAACACATTTTCTCGTCGTTCTCTTTAGAAAATGTTCACCAAAATTCTGCATTCTTGCAACACTTTTACTCCAATTTCTTCTACTACTGACAAATTTCACAATCTCGTATTTTAATACTAAAGCAAAAAATATTATGATTTGTTAAAAAAAAAATCGATGGAACTTGTACTAGAACAAAAAAGAACGCATACGAAAATGGCGGCGTTGCTTGACTGAAGAATTGTCATGAATATGGCTGCCAGAAGAGCGATTACGCGGATGCTTGCCAGAGTTTGGCATATTCTGAAAATTTGGGAACTTCTACTAATGTGGTTGCATTAATACGTAAGTACAGCTTTGCCACCATATTGCATATTAAATCTGTAATAATGACATATTCCAGATTCTAAAGGACAATAATAAAATTTTGTTTAACGTAATCTTTCTTCTCTCTCTTCCAGCCGCCCAGAAGGTATAGCGGTTAGTGATGCTGACTGCCGTACCGATGGACGGGCTTCGAATCTCGGTGAAGGCATGGATGCTTGAAACGTATAGTTTTCGCGTGATAAGGAAGCCGTCCCCTCAAGAGGTTATTAGATGTAGGTAAAAAAAGGTGGGATCCCAGGATCGCCTCCTGGAATGTTTTTCCTCAAAAGGGGACGGAAGTCGGCTAGTTTCGGAGATACCTCATATACCTACTGGAATACATATGTGTTGGTCTTGCTTCAACCTTCCTGCCCTCCCTTCATATAATATAGACACTGCGAAGTATTTGGGCAGTTTCCTTTTAAAGTTCCAGTTCTTTTTTTTTTTTTTTTTTCCCTGCAATTACAGATTGTGAACAATTACAAATGTAACCCAGTCCATTAATCTATACAAGGCCGGATGTGGTAGTCTCTTTATTATGGAGGTACCTAATAGGTATGCCACCATCGCCTTTCCTATGAAGGGACGGACAGTTACAACCATGCCTTCTTCGGGATTCGAACCCATGCCCTTCGGCATGGCAATCAGCTTCCCTGACCACTATACCGACTGGGCGGCAAGTTCCAGTTTCTTATCAGGAGGAATTACAGTTAGATATGTTAATTGAAGATTAATTTTCCTACCCCGCAATGAACCCTATCATAAGAAAGAATGAAGCAAAGAATTTTTTTTTTTTTTAACTGATTTTTAACGTTTTATTACAGGGTGTTCTTTTATCTGTGACATTATCAGTAGCTTTGGCTGTGAGTCATGCTTTGGCTGCCGCGCCATTGGCAAGAAGTTACAGTCCTGGATTAACTCGGGTAAGAAGTTTACTATTATTATTTTCCAACCGTTTATGAACCATAAATTAATCGCGACTGTAATGGTTTGAAAATGTGGTTAACTCGCATTACATTACAGTGAAAGCGAAGTAAAGTTCTCTTGCACATACATGGCGAACATGAAATTAAGATACAATTACTTGTATTTATGTCTCGGCCATTAAACGAACATTTCGCATAAACACTTTTTTTTTCACAAACAATTCAACTAATTATTTGACTGAATTAGATACTACTATTGGATTTGTTATGAATTTGATGAAATGACATATTATAGATGGAAATAGTTTGCTTCTTGATTTTAGAAAAGCATCCGGCATCTATTAGTCTAAAAGTCATGATGTATTTCTGATAAAAGAACCCAGCACAGACCGAGTGGCTAAAACCATTAAATTCAGTGAGTTCAGCCCATGCAACTGCTGCCCGCTCATGGCTATTTTCATGGTTTTCCTAGTGACCTTAAACTTAGTCGGTTTTCCTTAAACAGTCCACCGCAAAGGCATTTTTAGACTTACAGTTTTCAAATGCTTTGCCATAATAGACTAAACCAGGGGTGGCCAAAGTGCGGCTCGCGAGCCTGATACGGCTCTTGCAGGCAATTTGTGCGGCTCGTGCATATAAAATATATGCATGAAATATTGTAAACTAAAACTATTCAGTGTCCAAAAAGAAGTAATTATTTAGTTTAGACTCATTTTACAAAGTTATCAGGGATTTCTATCTATTTAAAACCTACTCCACTACTTCTATAATGATGTAAATATGAACTTGGGGCTTTTAGAAAAATCTAGATGCGGCTCTCGAACATTCCTGAATTCAAACATGCGGCTCTTACTGACATGAAGTTTGGCCAACTTTGGACTAAACAATGAATTTGTATAGATGTAAATGAATTACGTTCCCCAGAAAATCCCCAAGAATATCTTTTAATTAACTTTTCAGCAGGTTGAAAGCTAGACCATGCACGAATTACTGTTGCTTTACGATTATAAGAGGTTATCACATATGGCTACAGTCCCTGCTAGACGGGACTTTTCTGAGAAAAGAGATTCTGGTAGCACTGTTTTAGACGGGGGTATTCCTAGAAAAAAAGATCCCCGCCTGAAGCGAAGTCCCGCCTAGCTACGGAAGCATGCTTGCGGATACGCGGGATTTTTTTCAAACCTCACCAAAAATGTCTCGGATACCAGGTAGAGACAACCAATCAGACGAAAGTTCTCTTCTGAAAGATCACGCGATCCCGATTTGAGCGATTATCGATTACTGTTTCGCGTTCAAGTCTTTGTAGTAAGTGAGAATGGTACCTAGCTACCTGTGTTTCCTGGAATTGTGCGGGTTCTGAGAATTGTTCCTTTCGACGTCAAGTCCCGCGTAGCCGAAACATAATGTGATTGGGACCTTAGCTTTTTGCCTGTATTTTTTAACCTTCATCTGCACTTAACCAAAAAAACACAGAAATATGCAAAAGTAAATTAAATTTTCTTTCAATGACCGAATACTAAAAAGATCTCAAGCGCTGGTAATAAATTATGCTGAAGATTTAAATAAAACCATTTTCCTGAAGAACATAAAAAGTAAGCCTTAATTTATGGATCATGTGCATTTTATAAACAATTCGCATGGAAGAAATTGCGATGTGTCTGTAGATAGGATGATCAAATATTCATTTCATCAAGTATCGTACCTCTAAAAAAATTCTTCTGTTGCAAATATTTTTTGCAAAATCAGCGCGTAACGTTTTCTTTTCTTTAAAGTTCAAGCTTGTTCATGAATAATTTGATATCGTCAATTTCCTCCAACGGGATTTATATGTTTACGATTACATATCATTTACTAAGAAAGAAGAGAAACACGCCAAAGTAAAACATAAAATTAGGCAAAGCAACAATTAGGCAAGTACTTGTTCCAATCTCTTACTGTTTTGTCAGCCATATCACGTCCATTGATAGACACATTTTTGATGGTAGCGTCCCATAACTTTGAAAATGATCTATTGCTTGCTGTTTCGTAGAAGACAGTTCCCAAATTTTAATAATTTGTTTTTTCAAAATGAGAGAAAAAATATAGCAATGAAATTTGATTTATGTCTTTGTTTATAAAAACAAAGGCGACTTATCGGAAATTAATTGGGATTAAGTCAAACGAAAGCGTAGATGTTATGACTGTGTTGTGTGACGATTATCTATAATTGGCTCTAAATCGCGCTGCTTTGTGACAGTTTCATGGTCGACGGGATAGTACGCAAGTACCCATCTGGTTATGAAAATTTTTATGTATTTTCATATATATATCAATTAGCATAAATTTTAAGTTTCTTTTTTCCTCCTCAATTAGGGGATCTCCAGTTACAGCTCTCCAAGATTAGGCATTTCCGGAAGACCGGACTATAGAGAAACGATATATCAAGAATCAGGTAACATTTACGGAGGACAGCGTGGTGGTCGATTCTTACAAAGGGGTGCTGGTGGCAGTGTAAGAGGTCTACAGTATTCAGCAAGTCCAGCAGCGGACTGGTCAGCTACACAAGGTCCCGTCCGTAATGTTTATCAACAGCAAGGCATTTCTGGATATCAGGATGGAGGACTACGAAGTGCAGGATACGGTTATGCCCGTCAAAGGCAAGTATCATTTACTGCACCTCTAGCCAATACAAGAAGTTACAACCCACAGTTGGACGTAGCCAGAAACCAGCCGAATGAATACGGATACTATTAGAAATTTTTTTTAAAAGTGTTTTAAGATCTTTCACGTTTGTCTGGTTGAGACTAGCATGGATTCCGGAAAAGGTCGACTAACACTATGTTGTACTTCCAGGTTGTGGCTTTCCTTTTCAATTCTTTTCCTGAATAAATAGCATCATGTGACTTTAAAACAATGTGGTTATCTATTATCATTTCTAGTTAATAACACATTATTTTTTCTTTGGCACGTTCGCTGCCAGCCAGGAGTTAATTCGTAGAACGTTGTTTTTGGTTTGCAACATACAATCAAAACTCGTAGTATTTTCATGCTCTTTGAAGGTAATTAATTGGCCGTGGAGATTAGGAAAAAAAAAAAACAATTTGGCGCAATTCAAGAGATTTATTATAATTAATAAATATAATATAAATAAAGTAAATAACGTAAGAACTGTAAAAATAATCAAGAAATTTATAATAATATTTGTTATAATAACTGTTGTAAAAGTAATGAATTTTTGTTACAAGCAACAGCCAACTACGAATACACTCGTTACGAGTATACTCGTAGTTGGCGCTGTCATAAAACATTTTATCGCAAAAACCGACTACGATATAACTCGCATAGTTAATAAAGCAATTAAAAATTATCAAAATTCAATATCTTTTCCATAAATACAGGTTTTGTACTTTTATTTTACAATTAATTAAAATTTATTGGCGTGGTGGAACCATTTTTGATAATGTCGCTCGACAGCGAACGTGTTAAAAATGTCGAAACACAACTTTTTATTATTATCTTTTAATTTTCCAGCAAAATTTAACGAGTAATTAGATAAAGAAATAATTATTTAAGAATTGCAGAATTAAAAAAATTAATATAAATTTCTTAGCTGTAAGATTTTTCGAGATGTTAAACATAAATTCTTCTCCTTAAGTTATCGTAAAATATTTGTGAAATCAAGAAATTAAAAAACAGGTTTTGTCAAACAGACTATTTTATCAACTCTGGAGAATTTTAGCGTTACTAAAAGTCTCCAACCAAACTATTAAAGACACCTTCTGCTAATTTAAATGTTAGTTCTGTCATGACAAAGGAACCTCTAGCTATCCTAAATTTTGTGCCATGAAATCGAAAATTTAATCGCCTTTAAACAATAATGTACTTTAATATATTTAATGCCGCAGAAATCAAACAGTTAACAAAAATATCACATTATGATATTTTTGTAAAAATATTAAAGTTAAAATAAATAGTAAATTTGTAATAAAAGGTACTATTTTCCCAACATAACAAGTTCACTGAGAAAAACATTCAGTTTCATAAAATATTAACGACTAAAAATTTGTACTGGAAGAAACACAATCTCGAAAGTAAATCTGACGTAAATAGGGAATAAATGGAACTTAAAAGAAAGCCAAAGTGTTTTAAAATTCCCTGAAATAAATTTCACAAAAAATGCTTTCTTCAGAGAACAACGAAAATCTTATGAATTAATGAGAACATAAAATTTAGATTATACAAATTATATGTGTAAGTTTTTATAAATAGTAGCCGGCCATAGGTAAAGTGGCTGAATACTGATGGTTCGGCCTGGGCTCGATTCCAGGCGAACGGGCTGGCTGCATGGGCGTTTTCGTGTTTTCCCCCATGTGTAACATGTATAAGAGCCAGTCTCCTTTAGAATGTTTTCCTCCACGAAAGACATTTCTTCTCTTAGGCTGATAGACCTCACGTCCGTTGCCATAATCAAAGTAAACACAGTTCCAAAAATATGTTTCGAAAAATAAAAACTCAAATATCTTAGCCCCCCCCCCACTTTTTTTTTCCTCGGGAGGTGGCATCCTTAAACTCCGAAACAAAGAAATATGGAACTTATTCAAGTATAAGATTAAATAAAGAAATGTAGTCTTTTGCAACAAAAAATAGGAATTGTTTAAATGTTCTAATATATATAAATTCCCTTAGGAATGAAAAGTGCCAACAACTGATATAGAAATTTGAAACACAAGTTAGAGCATCGATATTTTAGTCAAAGTGATGAATTACTAATTTAAATAGATCAAACTGCGAAATAAATAAGATAGCCCTGTATTCTTTGCCGTATTCGACTGAGCAAATTATAATTTTTGAAGGTAACACAGGTACATGTAGAACACCTAAATTTTATCATTAGGTCGTGCAGGTATAGATAGTCCCATCACACTAATTCCGCAGCTGCACCGCAATTGTGGTGGAGAATCCTTGGGGAACGGATTCGCGGACCTCCCTCCTCTTCTTAAAACGAATCATCGAACCACTCGAAATTTTTAAATTCCCCAGCATTCTAGAGGTTCCCATGTCTTACAGGACACTATACACTTACAAATATCCATGTCTTCTCAAGGATTCGAACTCGATCGGGCCTAACGCTATGGCAGCCGACATTGTTAACCACTATAGATCAAGGAGTCAATGAATCTACATTTGCGAGGCGGGCAATACCTGATGCAGCCAGTGCCGATTTGTGAGTCAGAGACTCCTTTGAGCAGTGTAGCCCTCCTCTCTTATGACAAAATCTGAAATTCCAAATGAAATTAATTTAGAGAAATGCTAATTCATTTAGTACTAGCTGAAGTATCTGGCATTACCCGGGCTTTACGCAGAAAGAAGCGGCTTCATTTAAGGGGACAGAGGTAGTTTTTTTAGAAATCCTATTTTCGATCTATTGGCGAAAAGCTTTAACAGCTTTTCGCGCATTTAAATTGTGCTCTAAATATTCAGCACTGTTTTGGAAAGTTCTACATTGCTCTAAAGACATGGCGGCATTTAACAGTTTTTAGTAAGAACAGTATTTGCTTTGTTATCGTTTCCGGCTTTTCCTTCGGGAGGGGGAATCGCCATCCACTTTTGCCCATTTCTTCACCGTTTTGGGAATGTTGGCGATAGCTTACAGAGAGTGGACTTAAATTCTGATTCTGCGACAAAAGTACTTTAGTCTTCTAAAGCGTTCTACACTCTTCTCAAGAACAAACGAATAAAGCGCCATTTAAACCTTTTTAGTAAGAACAGATAGCAGGAGTGCAACAACGGCGACGGGAACGTAAGATAGGTGACATGATATCAAAACTGAATTTTTTTCGAAATATAAATATTTATATTTTGTAAAAAAAATACGACATCCTTACTCGGCATGTATGAATTCTTCTAATAGCGCAATAGCATTTACGGTGACGTGAACCTGAGATGTGTAATGTGTACGCAAAATGAGTGTTCTAATACCCTTTTCTAATATAAACGCCCTAGGTGTGGACCACGTGAGAATGTTTTTGAGAAATCTTATGCATACAGTAATCTTCCTCTTGTTTTGAAGGTCAAGTGTACTGAATTTCATCAAGACTGCAATAAAATTTTAGATTTGTATGAAAGACAAATACGCACCCACTCCTCTTTAAATATGAGATATGCATATGTAAAAATCTGATGTGTACACCACATGACTTCCTTGTACGGAATATTAAATTATACGCATTTTTTTTTTTTTTTTTTTTTTTTTTTTTTTTTTTTTTTTTTTTTTTTTTGCATTTCATTTAAACTTATTGAATTAAATCTACTTCGTCGATAGCGCATAAACCACAATAGAATAAATGCACTCTTTAAAATTCACTATATTTGTTTACCATAGCGACACTCTGGCGCTAGGTTCACTTAACAGCGTTACATTTCGTTCATATTGTTGCGTGCGTACGGGTTCGTTATGAAATGAATGCACAAGTCCGATGAAAAATGAACAAAAATTTATTATTATCACAACAGAAATGCTTAAATTTTCTCAAATTATCATGCAGTATCACAATATCTCACAGTAGTTATCTTTTAACTACTCAAATGTTACAATAGAACGTAATTCAAAACAGCTAAAGAACGCTAATCCGCGAATTCGCTATAATCAACAACGAGCAGTTTTCTAAACAAACAACAAACTAAGCAAACTACTACAAACTGAGATGTTTTCCTCCTTTTATAAGATTTTAAAATCACGCGCTAGAATTTTCCAGTACTTCTCGAACTTCTCGAAATCAAAAAGAGATATTTATTTAAATTTAATGCACGCGCTCTTGTATTTTTTTTCAATTTTCCGGCTTAGCTTTCTTTTAATATTCGTCACGCGCTGCACTGCGCGAGAAATAAAACCATTTAATTTATAATTGCACTAACATTAGCTTTTAAATACCAAATTCGTAACAATATCATAATTCAGAATGCATATAAATTTACAGCATTTAAAGAATTATCTAATCGTTGCCACATGTTCTATTCAAATACTATAATAAGTCTAAAACGATGTATAAAATAAATTAAGCAAACGAAACAAAAAAGAAACAGTTTTTTACAGACGATTCAGTATTTCTCATTCAACTAATTCAGTTCTCACTTCCTGACAAGGCAAAAATACATAAAAACTCAAAATATCTATATTAAAAATTACGAAGTAAACCTTAAACACTTATTTCCTCGAATAAATTCCAGAATGGATTAAACATGATTTAATTCGCAGTAATAGAAAAAGAAGTTATCTTTGTTATTGCGATGCTTAGTTTCTCTAGATTGGTAACAAATCCGCTATTTTGCCAAGTTTGAAATGTAAACAAACATGTCCGCCATCGCAAAAATAATTAGGCTTACCTGCACTTAAACAACTTTTAAATTGTTGATAACTCCCCAAATATTGCATGCAGATTTTACTAAAGGCATAAAAACCTTAACCGGAAGATAAGAACAACATAATTCAATCATTTTTAAAGCACAAAATGCACAATTTACAAACATATAAGAGTAAATTAACTGAGATCTCTGAGACGGTTAACAGATATATGTATACGTATATTTATATACGTTTGATGCGGCCGATTGCAACCAAAATACGAGGTGCACATCTACATGTTATAGCAGTCCTATATACAAAACTTCAACGTTCTGAGGCTACTCGAACGTATATACGTACGTACGAAAACGACGCCACAAAAAATTCTCTTCAGAATTAATTTTAAATCTGCTTTATGGTTCTTTTGGGGGAAAAGAGTCTTTTATTCTGCCCTTACGTACAGATGTCACGCAGAAACATCGTTAAATTGCATTCGATAGCGGTCAAAATGGATATTTTCGTTGAAATATGATGCCTGAAAATTTTCGCGATTACAATACATCTTTTTTACT